AAGAAAAAAGAAGCAGTTTTGTGTCAGTCACAGGTGAATTTGCTTTTTCTACAGTGTCTGAGAATGCTTCCAATGTTTTATGGCCTAAGGAGAGATTAAACTACAGTTGTCAGCTTGTGACGGTGTTTCACATTTTGCGGGATCATGCCTCAACATGCCTCCAGAAACGCACATCAATTGAGAAACCTGCTCAGATATTTTTGTGCCTCGGCTCGAACACGATCCCTTTTCTGCTCGTGCAGTCTTGCCTTGACGAAACAAGAAAAAAAGACATCTAAATTTAGGATTATTAATCTCAAATCTGCACCGTCGCTAGCTCAGGCGATGTGACTGGCTGCTGTCGGATTGATTCAAAGTGCGTCCATTCAATCAATCAACTGTTATTTATGATTTTAAGCACAAAAAATACAACTGAAACTGTTGTTCATGACTTAAACATAACTTGAGACTTATTATATCAGCTTAACTTTCTCACCTATTGCAGTGGTTTACATCCTGTACACAGTGTTTTTCTGTGAATCAAGTTTGCTCTTGTGCCAAAAAGATGCAAACTGATAGTTAAACACTTTCCTCTTGGTTTCCATACATCCTTCTGCACATCAGCCCAACAATCAGACCAACAGAACACTGAAGGGTTCTTGTTATTCAGAGTAAAACGTTTATTAAAACAGACTGAACGGTGGAAAAACAGCTCTGGAAATGTTTGGAGTCAGGTTTGAAAGGTCCATCAGCACCTTCTGCTGCAGAGAGGAGCATTAAATGTTTTAATAACCAGGCACATGTAAGAAACAAAGACATGCAAACCAGATTAACTCTGACTACCTCTATGCTGTTGTTCACTTTTTATCAGCTGCTCGTAGCCCCGCTAGTCCGTGGTGAAGGGTTGCTCCTCATAAAAGCAGACTGGTGCTATCTGATACCGTCGTTGCTGTTGTTCGTCTCTTACAAAAGACACTCGTGATCGTGTCTCCTTTGTCAAAACGGGAACGAGGCGAACGGAGAGAACACAGCAAACTTGTTGTACGCACAAACTTGAATCCGCTGTATAGTCACTCATTAGTGTTTTCACGTTTGTCACCGAGATGCCAAAACAGTTATGTTCAGTGTAAACAAATCTTTAAACTCAGCTGGTTACATTATTCCACCACTCAGTCAGTAGCTTTGAGCTGTCCAGCGTAAAACCAGGATACGTAGCAGGTTTCTTCCCAGTTAAAAGTCTATTAAAAAGCTGAAATCCACAGAAAACATCCTTAATATCTGCACACGGGGCGACTAAATCTGAATGTGACAACTTAGAGCAGAAAGGCACAAAATTTAACAAAGGCATTTACTAAACTAAATACCTTTGAAGGGTTCGCTTGCAGAAATACTTATTAAAATGATGCTTAGTTTGAGGAAAAAAGAACAAAAAATCTGAGTCTTTGAACAGAAATAATTAAAACTAATGATCACCAATTTGATGTTGACATCTGGTTCCATCTCTTCTTCTTCTTTTTTGGCTTAAAAACAACAAAGAAGTGTACTTCCATGATAAATTTGGTAAAAAAGCAGGTGTGGTTGGGCAGAAAGGTCATTCTAACAAACAAGCACAGTCACTGTTTTTATCTTTCCGCCTTCAAATCATTTCCCTTCAACTTTGGAATTCAAGTAAAATTGTGCTTTCACGTGAAGTTCAGGCAAATTTCCACACGACGATTTGCGACCGCCTGCCGACGCTCCCACCAAGCGGACCGCAGAGTTGGAAATTGAGAGAGCGTCCGACTTCACACGAGTTCGGCTGAATGGGGGAAGCGCCATCAAATGGAGCTTCCTCATTCGTATCAACTGCCTCGAACTAAACATCCAGTGTGGACTCCCCGCAAGTCGCCGTGTCACCAAGTCGGGAGTGAGTCTGGCTGTGGCGTTCTCTGGTGTGACTAACAGGGTAAAGCAAGGTTACCTCTGATTTTCTCAGTTGGGCTTTTCGGTGCGGCTTAACGACAGCTATAATCACGGATACATCTTTAAAAAACAAAAAAAAAGCTTCCCTACACATGAGCCTGGAGGAACAGGCACTTAACAGAATTAGCGAAAACAAAAAATGTAAATTTATCCACAGTTGTTGCTATCGTTCGCTGGCTTTTGTGCGTCCTCGAAGCCGGTCATCTGTGGCCCAGCTCAGTAAGCCCAAAAGCACCACAGCCGCATACTGAGGCAACTCCTTTAGAGACTTATTAAAACAGGGAAAGTACAGCGTCGCCCAACAGGGTGCTGCACTAAAAACCCGCTGTGTGTCCTGTGTGTGGTGTCCAGCGGAACTTAGTTTGCCTCATAACACACACCAGAGCATGTAAACAGCTCTGACAAGTACATGCAGAGACCCAACTCACCAGACATAAACACACACACACACACACACTCGTCCTATCGCTCTCATTGGGACTGTGTGTGCTGTGTTCTGCCGGATCTCAGTGTGAGTCTCAGTGTGTGAGTCTCTTTTTTTTTTTTTTTTTCCCCTCGTCTTTTTTTCCAGGCAGCCATCTCTGCTCGGCCTTGCCATCTGTTCTCCATGCTGTGGAACACGGCGCTCCCTCTGGCTGCAGGCGTTTTCACATGGTGGCAAAAAAAAAAATAGTCAACTGGAGTTGGGAGGAAAAATAAATAAATAAGTAAATAAATAAAAGCGCCGAGGATAGAAGCGGATCAAGACGTGGCCTCACGAGGTGACGCGGTAAGTCAGCCAGGGAGTCATTTTCTAATTTTGTGTTACATATTTAGTGTCTGTGTCAGCATATTTTTTTTTGTTTTGTTTGGATTGTGTTGTATTCGTATGTGGGTGTTTCAAGATTTAGTCTCTGACAACGATTTCGTAGGAGGTGCTGATGATCGCTGCTTTTCTTGGTGCATTACGCTACCTCTAAATATCTCCGAGGGTGGCAGCTGGAAGTTCGGTTCCCATAGTAAAAAACGAAGTTCATTCATTTTACAAGGTGGAAGTGGGAGTGATTGTGCTGTTTGGTTCAGGGTGTATTTATGTTTTTATGTGCTCTCCGCATGGCAATTATCCTATTAACACAGCTTGTCACCTGCTGAGGTTTGACACAAACAGCCCACTGAGGTTGGCTACTTATTGAAAATGCACTTTGTGAACCGTTTTCCTAAAACAAAGAACCGGCGAGAAAGAAATCTGCATAATCTCCTGTTTACTTTGATCCTTCATCCATCTCTGTAATGCTTATCTGGCTCTGTGAAGGCACTGACAGCAGGTTAAGTACAGTAGCATGAATGTATTTATCCCTGGTACCCGGCTCCTCCTGGGGGATCTCCAGGTGCTCCCAGGCCGAGGTGGGATGTCTTAACTCCTTTAGCGTGTTCTGTGCAGGTCTCTCGGTGGGACCCGTCAAGATTACCTCCAAAATGAAATGTCCAGGAAGCATCCTGATCAGATCCCCAAATCACCCCCACCGGCTGCTTCTAAATGTTTCAGCTCTTCACCCTCCGGCTAAAAATGAGCCCAGACGCCCAGCAAAGAAAGCTGATTTCCGTTCACTCTGCCCGCAGTGT